GAGCTGGATACACCTCCTGGACTCTCCCTTGTTATAGGCCCTAACACATTATAGTCACCTGCATCTCCTTCCCTCACTGTGTCTGCTGTTCTGCTGTTACACCTCAGCCCCTAGAACCGTGCCTGGCAAAAGTTGCATGAATGACTGAATGAATTTGTTTAAATTGGTTTGGGTCTAGAAGTAATGATCTTAATAGCAGATAGTGAGTTTAATATTAGAATTATATTTTGTGGAGTACATTATAACACTGTGAGATTGTCCTTAAAAGAGCATATAATAGGGAATAGTGAAGACAAGCAGCCAGAAATTTCATTTTTTTCTGATTTCCCAGGTCTGCCAAGCTCACTCAGAGCCTGTCTTTGAATAAACAGTGCCTTCTCTCGAGGGTTCCAAGACTTAGTTGTAGAGTTCAGATCAGAATTGCTTCCCTGCAACTCTTTAACCTCAGGAAGGCTATTGATCCTTCCAGGGTCCCAGAGTTCCAGCATCTCTTGAATTCACCCTGGTAATCCCATTTCACCCCACTCACCCCCCTTCAGCCTCCTCAAGTGGCTGGCTGTTCTAGCCTTTGCCCTTCATTAAACCAAATTGCCTGCAGGGACTTGGTTTTCTTCTGTGCTGTGCCCCTCCCTGGCCCTGTGCCACCTCAGCCCTGTGTCCCACTTCCCAGCTATGTTTTGTGGATGTTCTTCAGTCCTATGTTGGTACCCCATAGGGCTGTTTAGAGTCCACTGCAGAATTGGAGGTTCAGTAAAGACAGCTGCATATAATTGAGGGGAGGAGGAGGAGGATTAATTATTACTGAGATGTTTGCCTGGAGTTTTAATTAGCCTGCCTTTCCTTACTTCCCTCTTTTTTTTCCCCCTAGCTCAGAATGTCCTCTTAGAATGTTAGTATTTTAGAGACTTGGAACATTAGGTTTTAACATTCTGCACCCAGAGCCTCAGTGTAATAAATAAATCAATAGGCTGATTGCCTCCAGTAGCTTGATTGCTGAGTGCATTGGGGTACCTTTTGTTCTTGAGTGAATGATCATTTCACACACTGGCAAATGAGAAACAAATGTGGGTGTAGTACTTGTCCGGGCTTCTGATTTGCAACCCTGACCTGGGAACTCATTATTTCCAGCATTGTGTGTAACTTATGAGCAGCTTGCCAAATGTTCTGTCTCCTTCCCCTTGACAGTTCTCCCAAGTTATGTGTGTCATAAAAACATTTCGCATTTGCCAGAATAATCCTGAGTTTGTTTTGGATCTGACAGGTCCTCTGATATTACATTCTTAAATCTCACTAACAGATAATTTATACCAAAACTACCGCCTTGACAGAAAGTAAAGTTATATGATTTTCAATTTGGGTTGAAAATCAACTCAAGTTTTGACAATACTGAGACTCTTAGACCCTACAGATTAATCATGATTATCTTACCGTGAAATACTTTTTGTAGTAGGAACTACCCTCCATTTATTTTTTCTGTCAAAACCTGTGATTGGAAAATGTTTCATAATGGGAATATTGTCATTTCTACAGATGCATTTATTTCATGGTGTATTCCAACCACAATATGGTTGCCCCTCATTTTATGCAATAGGTATGCCCCTGAAGAGTTGCTTATAAACTGAAATTTTATAGATATATTTATAATTACATGCGCATGCAGTGCTACTGTTTTACCTAATAGTTTCTTTTGTAATTAGAAAAATGACTCCCAAATTCATCTGAAAAGTATAACACTCATGTATTGGGTCTTGTTTAGATGAAGTAATCTTAATACAAATCAGGCAAGATTATCAACTAGCTTCTACTCTCAATAGTGCTGGCTTATAACACATTTCATCCCAATAGGAGACTGCAGGTTTTATACATTCTACATTTTCTCACAGATATTCAAACGCTTCCAGAGGAAAATCTGCCCCTCTTAGAGCCACCCCTTGCTCTGTCTTGTATAGTTCTTTCAGGGAAGGAAGAGGGGGATGCTAGCTCAGAGTTGGGATGATTTGTGATGTTCTGCTGGAATATTACATAACCTAGCAGGTAATTTTTTTTGAGACAGGGTCTTGCTCTGTAGCCCAGGCTGGAGTGCCCAATTATAGCTCACTGCAGTCTCAAACTCCTGGACTCCTGGATTCAAGCAATCCTCCCATCTCAGCCTCGTGAGTAGTTGGAACTACAGGTGCATGCCACCATGCCCAGCTATTTTTCATTTTTTTGTAAAGGCGATGTCTTGCTTTGTTGCCCAGACTGGTCTCAAGCTCCATGATTCTGTGTATTCTGGCTCTCTATTGCTGTGTAGCAAACCACTCCTACATTTAATGGCTTAAGAAACTTATTATTGTCTCTTCCATTCTGTGGGTTGTTTAGCTCAGCTGGTTGGTTGTCACTTGCACTTCCCACATGTGGGTGCAGTCAGGCATTGACTGGGGCTGTAGTCATCTGAAGGCTGGACTGAGCAGGACAACTAAGATGGCTTCTTGACATGACTGGCAGTTGAGACTGTCAGCTGAGAGCTCAGCTGGGCTGTGGGCCCCAGCACACACATGTGACCCCTTGTGTGGCTTGTGCTTCTCACTTGTTGATTGGGTTCCAAGAGGGACAGTCCCAAGAATGAGTGTTCTCAGAGATCCAGGCGGAGGCTGCAAGGCTTCTTATGACCTTGACTCAAAATCCCAGAACATCGCTTCTTCCACATTCTGTTGGTTGAGGCCAGGGAGTGACTAAGGCCAGTCCAGATTCAAGGGGAGGGAATTAGACTTCACCTCTTGATGGGAGTTGCAGCATGTGTGTACTGTGGGGAAAAGAATGGGTAGGGCCTATTTTTAACTACCTACCATAATGTTCTGGAGGAAGGACATTCCCTTGAGGAACAAGATGACACAAATATGAAGGGTGCATAAGCCATTGTGGGCAGTGTAGGGAGGTTATAGAATGCTTAATACATATAATATTTACAAATGAATTGGCCAGCCTTGTTGGTTAGAACTGGGTACTGGGGAGTACACAATAAATGAGCCTATTTCCGTGGAAGCCAGTTAGCGTCCTACAGAGAGAAGCATTCCCCTTTACTGACCCCAGCCCTAAATGAGCCACCTATGTTACAGATGTTTGAAAAAAGAACTTAGTTAGGGAATCTAAGCAGCACAGTTTTAAAGACGTATTTGTCTAGAAGCTACCCCAAGTATGTATCCTATTCACATTGACTCAGTGAAACCATCTTCGTAAATTAGAACCACAAACACATAGAGAACTGTGAAGTAATATGTCTAGTATAAATGTTTTTCAGCTCACATTTTGGAGGTGCTTAGGGAAGGCTGTGCCCACAGCTATCTTACATACTTAGAATGGACACTTTTTGATGTTTGAGGTAAAGTCAAGTTCTATCCATGTACTTGGAAGTATAATTACCTCCTTAGCTTTAATCAGGAAAACAGCTGGCCTGTTAAACACACTGAGCTACAGGTCCTTTGATTTCAGCTGTGGAGCTTGGCCGATCTGGATGCACAGGCTGACAACTCCCTTGAATACATTACTTTTCACCCTTGGTAGCATTTTTCCCTTCCTCCTGCGTACTCCTCGTTGGCTCCCTGGGGATTCAAATTTGTGTTTATCGTGCTGAAAATTTAGAGGCAAGATAAACAACATTTTAAACTATTTATAACCAGAGGCTATGCCAGAAATAAATTAGGCTTTGCATTTGACATATGTTAAAATGTTGCTTGCTGGCAAAGGTAGGAAGAATATCCCTAGGTGTGAAAAGCAGATGGTTAAAGACGACTGATAAAGCTTTGACCCAGAATATGGCTATATGGGATTAGTACTTGTCTTAATTTGGGCTTCTGTAACAAAATACCATAGACTGGGTAACTTATAAACAACAGAAATTTATTTCTCTCAGTTCTGGAAGCTGGAAGTCTGAGACCAGGGGCCGGCATTGTCAGGTTCTGGTGAGGGCCCCCTTCTGGTTTGCAGATTGCCTACTTCTCATTGTATCCTCACATGATAGAAAGAGCACAGGAGAGCTCTTAGGAGTCCCTTTTATAAGGACATTAATCCCATTTATGAGATGCTCCACCCCCGTGACTTAATTACCTCCCAAAGGCTTCGCTTCCTGATATCATTGCACTGAGGGTTAGGATTTTAACATATGAATTAAGGGGGAGGGGCACACACATTCAGTCCATAGCATTATCCTATTGACTTATTAAACGTATTCTTGTGGAATGCTAGGGATAGAGAGGATCCTGGAGATGCCATTTATATAGGGCCCATATTTTTATACCACCAGGAGGACATTTAGCAAGGGTAAGGAACATGCTCTGGAAGGAGGTATGGGAGAGAGGATGAGAAAGAGGCACCATACAAACATAAACCTTAGGGCGGTGGACACACTGTGGTAAGGAAAGAACTCTGTCTGACTTCTTGCATGTGAATCATCCCAGAGAGAGACCTCTCTTGCTCATTAGATCTCTGATGAAGAGTCCACATGCTCCCTTAAATATTCACCTCTCAGTCACACTAGTATAGACCCACCACAGTCTACCTCCGTTCTTTCCTTCTGCCTATAAATATTGGTTGAGCTCCTACCATGTGCAGGCACTGTGTTATGTGGATGAATAAGACACATGGGCTATCAAGTTGAAAGACATGCAATAAACCAGTGAACAAGTAATATAATGAAAGATTATGATTAGTGTTATGGGGGAGAAAAGGGGTGTGATACAGAATAATGGGCGTATGTGTCCTGTTTTGGATAGGATGATCAAGATAACCCTTCGAGGAGGTGACATAAATGATTTCAAAGTGATTAAACTTTGGCATGTGTTAACTGCTACTTAAACATTTCTTAAACTGCATGTTGTTAAGGTTAAAATAGTGTTTGCCTTTTCTGAGCCCAATCTGCAGAATGCTGAATGGACAGCAGTTCTGGGGAATAGAGGGAAGCCAGCTGGATGGGGAGACCTCTCCTGGCCAACACGTTCCTCATGACCACCTTCTCTCCTTAGGAAAAGGAGACGTGTTTGGAGATGTGTTCTGGAAGGAAGCCACCCTTGCCCAGTCCTGTGCCAATGTGAGGGCCTTGACCTACTGTGATCTGCATGTGATCAAGCGGGATGCCCTGCAGAAAGTGCTGGAATTCTACACAGCCTTCTCCCATTCCTTCTCCCGGAACCTGATTCTGACATACAACCTGAGGAAGAGGGTGAGTTAAAAGTTTCAGTTATTTTCTACAAAGAACAGTCCCTGTGCACTTTGGATAATCACTGTGACCAGAAAAGTCCCTTTGCTGTTTATTTAAGTAGAGTAATTGGTTCTAAAGAGGTTCTGTTTGTTGTTTGCTCTGCGGGGCTTTTGCTATAAAATGGAGGAGAGAGGGGATGTTGCTAGATTAGAAGATGGATCCATTTTGGTGCAGAAGGGATTTATTCATGTGTGTGCTGGGGGCAGGGATGTGGCTTTTTTTTTTCCCCTCATCAATATCTAGACCTCCTAGCATTTTGAAAAGATGAGTAAAGCATGAGGTTGCTAGTCAGCAAAATGGCTCTGTGGGGCCACTTAATTACTGCAAACTGAATTCTCTGCGGTGACTGGGATTTGCTGAGTAGTGTGAAGCCATTAGCCTGTCAGCTAGTAATGATAATTTTTTAACAGATATGAAAATGACTTAGTTGGGTCCAGAGAATAAGAGAGACATGGAATTTGTTTGTCTAGAGAATATTTTGCATGCAACTGCCAACTAAACTGGTTGAGAAATGATTGGTGGTTTAAGAACCAGAAGATTTTTCACCTTAAGTTGTTTCTTCCACTCTCAAATCATCAGAACTGCTCCATCTGTCTCTGTGAGGATTAAAGTATTGGTCTCATACTTTTGGGGTTTTTACGACGGATTTTCTTGCACTTCATCTCTCTAACTCTTTTGGTTAAAACAATAATAAGATAGCTCTGCACCTGGAGAAATCATATGGAAAAGTTGTCATAGGAATCTTTCCTAAAATGACTACTTAATCTTTTCCCCAACCTGCTTCTTGTCTCATGGTTCCTATTTACATTGTCTAATTTGTCCTGGGAAACCCTGGCATCAACGTTGATGCTGCTTTTCCCTCTCTGAAGCCTCGTGTTACTCATCAGATCCTGTTGGTTCTATTTAAGCTCTCAAATCTAAGTCAGTACTTTGCCTTCATCCTCAAGGCCCCCAGAGAATTCTCAGGACACAAAGCTCTTCATTAAAAACCTTCCTCATGCCCTAGCTGGATCATGCAGTGGGCTCCAAATTCACCTTTCTGCCTCATGTCTGCCCTCAATGGAGTGCTTCCTTCTTATGGCTGCTTGACTAACCTTAAAAATCTGATCTGTCACTCTCCCACCTGACGAAAGGATATTATCTGTACATTTCAGCATGGTGTATGTGGTTGTCCACATCTGGCCCAAACTTAACCCCTGAGCCCTGACCTCAACTTCTCTCTATGCCCACCCTTCCCACCGTGAATTGCCACCATGAGAATTCCACACAGTTCTCCAAGCACATGACACCCCTTCAGAGTGCTGTGTCTCTGCCTGCTGCTTTCCCAACCTGGAATTCTTTTCTGTATGTGACAAACCCCTGTTAGCCCTAAAAACTGCTGAAATGTTTACTTTTTTATTCATCAAACCCAATATTGTACCAACTGAAGTAGACTAGACTTATAAAACCCAATGATACTCAGTTCCCTATCTCCAGGAACCTAAAGTCTAATAAGAAAAGTTAACACAAGAAAGATAATTGCGTAGAAGATGGTAAGTACAGTGATTGTGATTTGAACAAAGTTTTATGGGAGGATAAAGGAGGCGGACAGCTAAAGGGAGTCAAGGATTAACTGTCAGGGGTGATACCTGAGCTGAGTCCAAAGAACGAGTTTGCCAAACAGAAGGGACTGATGATCTACTGGGAGGGGCAATTTGCACAAAGTCTGGAGAAAGGAAACAACCCTTTGTCTTCTAAGTCCTTTGTGCAAGGTTCCAATGCCTGTCACTGGGCTACCCCAGCAATATTCCTCAACCTGTTTTAAATCCCTGGGACTATCTTGTGGGTCCCTGCACAGAGACCTGTGAAGGCAAGGGCTTGGTACCTTAGTATACTCAGTGCATAACCAAGTGTGGGGTGCCTAGAATTAATAAAAGTTTGAGAATGGCAAGGAGAAACAGATGGGATCTCTGGGCCTCAACTTCCACATTATAAAACGCAAGATTGTGGCGAGATGGTTTTTATAGTTCTGTGGTTTGAAACCCGGCCATTTAAATTCTAGTGGAGGGTGGGCGGTGGTGGAGAAATGTGCATCCAATGTTCTTCCTGGTTGATCTGTTGGTTGGGAACATAGGATGCTTGCTGGTGATACATTTAGCCAAGTGGATTCTCTTATAGTCTATTTTGTGATGTATTCCTTCTTTCTGTGAAAGCAAGTTGATTATAATCAGCTTTCAGTGTTGCTGATAATATAGGTTGAAAAAATACGCAGTTTGGGTTATTTGGAGGAGTAATCTTCTTGGAATAATTGTGGCTCAAGTAAATCTGTCTTTAAAAAAAACACAAGAATGACAACAAAAACAATGACACCTCAGTGGTCAGGTTTTTTCTGTAAGTACAGAGTGATAGCTCTGCAGAAGAGAAGACTCAGGGGCTACATTTTTGAAGGGCTGTTGTGGAGGAGTTTTTATAGCCACAGGGTACAGAGGAAGAACCAAAATTATAGACAGATTTTGGCACAGTATAAAAAGTCTTTTGAAAAAAAATCAGAACTCCCAAAAAAATGAAATAGGCTGCTTTGAGTGTATCAAGTTCGTTATTATGAGGGTACTTAGGCATCTCCTAGGTACCCATACTCAGAAACATTGTGGAAGGGACTTAGGCAACTGTTGGAGAGTCAGACTAACTGACCTGCAAATTTCCTTCCAGCTCTGAGTGACTATGTATGAGTCTGGTATGGATCCAAAGGAATTTTAGTGAAAGCCTTTGTGTAAAGAGGTAGCCATTCTTTTTTGGAAAAAAAAAAAAAAAAAGAGGCTTGTCATTTTGGTATTGCCATTGTAGTCTCTTGTGTCCTTCTGAGAATTAATTTGTAGTTACGTAGGGCATGGAAGACAAGAACATTACATGCATGAATTATTCTTGTCGCTATTTTTTTTCCTGGTAAAGTGAAGTGTATTGTTGTAGCTGTTTCTATCTTGGCAAAATTAAGTGTTTTATTTGCTAAGATTCTTGACAACAGAGTGCCTTTGACGTCTGTCTGGGGAGTTGCTTGATCTTGCAGATCTTCTCCAATGTGCAGTAAAGACTCTGAGCTGGAAGATGACTTGGTAACCATTCAGTCTCTTCCCTACTTCCCTAACATCCTCATTTCACGTTTTATAGAAAGGTCACAGAGCTGGGTTGGTAATGAAAGAATTGGAGCCAGAAGTGACACCTTGACTAAAGCCTTCCTGATCATAGCTCCCTGTCCTACTCTAGCCTCTGTATTCTAAGCCACATTCCTTTTCCCCTAAATCCAAGGGTATGAACATCACCTAGCTCTCAGCTCTGCTCTTGGAACCCAACTCAGAAAGAAACTGTTGATTTCCTCCATTTCCTCCAAAGCCACATGAGGGCACAGACAAGGATGAAAGAGGCAGAACCTGGAGGCAAATCCAGCATTTTGACCTTTAGTTTTTCTTGCTTGTGAGGTCTGAGCCAGGTGAGACTTTGGTCTGGGTCCTGCTTCTGCCACTTATTGCTTCTCTAATTCCGGATAAGCTAAAAAAGTTTCCTTTCTGTAAAATGGGGATGATGAAAATGTCTAACTTGTAGGGTAGTTGCAAGCATTAAATAAGATAATATTTGCAAAGCTTACATGAGTGCAAAGCTACATAGCGAGTGCTCAATTCATTTGTGTGTTATTGTTATTTTGTTCCATCCACTTGATTGATACCCTATTCTTTATTATCCTGTGCCTTTTGAAAAGTAAAAAGAAGGCGGTTCCTCTGCCTTTGTTCACGCAGGGTTATTGCCCTGCACAATGTTCTGTAGGGTAGGTGTTAGCCGTAGGTTCTCTGCACCTCTTGCAGCAAAGGAGGGATCAGTCACTCTGAGAAGTGGAATCCATTGCTGGCCTTGCTGCCTCTCCAGGTCCTGCCAGTGAAGAGGTCAACAATTGCCCACCATTTTGGCCAGTTCCATTCTTGGAGGGAAAAATCAGGCTATTTTGAGATCTTAGGTCAGTTAACAGGGAGTCTAGAGGGAAGCACAAAAGAAAAGCATAGCATTATTGTTTCTTCTGAGGGAGGTGGCTTGTGGCTCTTCATGAAAAGAAGGGGAATTAGAGCCTTCCTCATCAAATCCATGGCTCTCTAGGGTGCCAGGTCTACGTGCATTTTCCTCCAGGCCTGGTTTCATCTTGTATCTGTAATCAGAGCTTTGCAGACTATAAACAGTAAGATATTACCAACTCCAGATATTGTGCAAGCTACGTCACTGTATCAGTATGTGTATGTCAGCTTATTACATCTTTGGAACAGCCTCATGATATTACCATATCATTCCCATTTCTCAATTGAATAAACTAGGACCCTGTGAGGAAGAAAACCCCTTTTCCAAGGTTGCCTGGTTAATAAGTGGCAGATTCCAAACCTGGCATGTGCTCTTCTGGCTAAGCAGTGTCACATTCTGTGGCAGCCTCAGTGAAGGGTGGCCCTCAGCTGTTCCCATATTGGTATTCTTTTGCTTCTGCATTCTACTCTGTTAACTTTTCAGGGGAGGCTTGTGTTGTCTCCTAAGTATCTTTCTCCAGTGGCCTTTGCCACCGCCAGTACACTCAGAAACATGTATGGTAAAACCACAGTAATACCCCAGGTTGGGAGATGTGACAAATTTCCCCCTCGTAGTGACAGGGACACAGCAGGTAGCTGGGTGTGCTGGGTGTGGGAAGCATGACATGTTTCGCTTTGGTTAGGCAGCGGGTTAACCCAGCCATGCTGTTAGTAACTCACTATAAAGGGCAGTGCTTTGAGTCTAAGGACTAGGTTTGAATACTGATTTGACTGCTGACCAGCTATGTGCCTTTGGGCAAGTTACTTAACTATTCAGAGCCTCAGTTTCCTTGTCTGTGAGAAGGGGCAGTACAAGTCCTTCCTAATTAGGTTTTTTACATTTTATGTATATATTTTAAGTTCTGAAATACATGTGCGGAACATGCA